GTCTATCAACTCCGTCAATTCCTGAAAAACGGCCCGCGATGACCTAAAAAAATTCAGGAGACTGCGTGGGAAGGGTAGTGTGTTCCGCAATGGACATCCTTGCGCCAACTTGCAGCGAGAAATTGTAAGGCAAAGGAGTTAAAGCAAAAAGACTCTCGAAAAGAGAAAGAAAAAACCCTCTAGACTTAGCCTCCAAAGCCACCTTTCACTCGAAAACTATGCTGCCGGACAAGTGGCATGGAATGGATGCTTCATTATCACTCTTTGGGGGCCATAGGGTTCATTACAAAGAATCAGCCGACTGGAAACGTCTCAACACTTTTGGCTTCCTATCCTATACAGTTGTTTGAGGCTGCTGGGCGTAGCAAAGGCATTTTCTCATTACAGGCGAGTCACCTGGCAACTTCTCTCGCATTTCAACACCACTATCTATGCTCCTTATGGCGGACTGTGCTTTAGGAATCATTAGACTACAAGGTTATCGCAATTGGCAGTCCACACAAAGCCGTGACTGTTAGCTTCAGCGGTCATGCTATTCAACCAGATCATCTCCTGTTGATCACTCAGAGAAACGCCCTAGTTCAAGGGCAAGTGTTGCGATACATCGACAAGGCGTATGGGGTAAATAGCCTAGCGAGGAAAATGTCGTACCCTTGAGCAGGTGCCTGAACAAGTGCCTATTCCGAGCATGGGCGCCTTGCCAAAGCGCAACATGCCCATCCGGACGCCCACCGCAACCGCCCGCCCACAAATGGCCGCGCAGCCATATCGGTGTTGATACCCTTATCGCTTCATTTTCAAAGTACAGTTTATATGAAGCGGTTGCAGTACGTGTGGAAATTTCAGTAAACTCGTCCAATGTGGTGGGGAACAAAGGTTTTTTACCGTTTCACTTTGCTTTTTCGTCATTTTTCCCGCTGTGTAGCGCCGTTAGACCGAGAGCAAAATAATCCTCCTTGAAATAACTTTTAGCGATGAAAGATCAACCGTCTCAATATTGCGGCTGCATTGCTAGGAAACGAAGAATATCCTGATCGTTGTATACGTCCGTTAGCCACTTTGTAAAACCAGGATATAAAATCACATCACTTTGCTGTGCTATCTATAGTCGAGGGGGTAAGGCGGTAGACCAGTAACAAGTGGCAAGCTTTCCAAGCGCGCGGTTCGGTGGTCAAATCCCGAATCGGCTCCCGCTTAAGCCAACCAAGCCTTCTACACTCAAGGGACCGTAAATGCGCACAGCAATGTCTTCACTGAGTGAATTCACACACGCAAACTCATGGGCACAGTTCGGCGAAAGGAGTGGGGGCATTTTACCCTTTTGCTAGTTCTCGACCCATCTAGATAGCCTTTTTTGAGCTGACAGGTTTTACCATGATGGCTTGACGAGCTTGCTCCAGCTTCACAAGAGTTCACAGGTTTCACCAGAGTGAGACTTGTAAACCGGAACTTGAAGCAACGAAAGTGCAAAATGCCCCCCCCCCGTCGCCGAACTGCGCCAAACTTATGTTTCCCCCTGCGAATTGTAGTGGCGAAATATGTCCTGAAGCAAACAATAAATCAGTGAAGAGTTTTCATACCTCAAGCGGCATAACTGCTGCCAGTACCTCTTCGATCCTCCTTTTTTCCAGAACGAAGTCTATCCGAGCATTGTTCAACACTTCAGCTCCTTCTTCTATGCCAGGAACAAAACGAAGCACTTCGCGAGTTCCCTGAATACTCAGAACTGTGGAATGAACTGAAGCAATCAACTGTCCCGCTAAGGAAATATTGAAAGGAATCGAAATCGATGTTTGCATGAATGCTCATAAAGGTACCTCCATGATTTTCCAGCCAGCGTATGGACCATCAACGATCTGGCCTGTCATACTCACTGAACCCATGAACAGTGATGTGAAAAACATCGACTCACGAGGATCGGGCAGTTCCGACTGGAACGAGCATATTCAGCAAAATAAATGACCATGTTGCCTCAGGAACTGGGTGTAATCATACCAGTGCAACTAGCACCGGGGGCGTTAATGGAACGCCCGTATTCTCTGCTCGGCTAAGTTCTTTCGGTAGGTGTTCATATCGCGGCCGAAGCTGTAACTTGTGATTTAAACACCTCCCCCTGCCATGTACTCCAATCCTCCAAAATCACTTCAGACCTTGCGACAGCGCAGGTTGACGGTCAACGACACACTGTAACCGTGTGCTGCCGTTGCAGCTGCGCTCTATCATATGTATATACGATTTCATTTTAAATCAAACTCTTTTCACAACCGAACCAGACACATCTTACACTGGTCAGTTGACTATTAAACCGCACTAGGGGCTGCCTCAAGCCCCGCCCTAACACCGCCGCCCCCTTATCGACGTGATTGGTCTGCAATCATTCATACTATTTTCCTTGGTTTGACTCCTTTTCCCTTTTGTACTGACGGACAAGCCTCTAATTGAAAAAGGATCGTACAGTCACAAATACGACCCCGCCCACTCGTTTCAAGCGTATTATCGCAACGCTTTGAATTTTATAATTTTTTCTTTGTTCCGATGCAATTCTTTCACATTCAATACATCATAAAAACAATACGACCGCATAGATCATGCATCTAATGCACTACACCTAACGCCCGCCTCTTTCAAACAGTTCACTTCTGTGCTTCGGCGGAATTTTCGAGGTGTTTTTTTTCGGATCGTTCGTCTTCAAGGCTGCAATTGGCTCGCCCACTGTAAAGAAACCCCGCCACTTCGCCAAAGCTTCGCCCTACATTAAAGAAAAATGAGTCCACATTTGGCGGCTAGAGTCCCGAGTTTATGGTCTCATTTTTCGTTTTCGTTTCGGGTGACGAGCGAGGCCATACACTGCCAGTTAAGACTCCAGCCTGCCGATCTGGACTACTTTTCAAAAGTGGGCGGAGCCACCCGTTGCGGCTTGCACCCAGCGCTACTGTCTTGAGAGAGTGGGAGAATAGGACAGTGTCTGATATGAATCCGCGCCGCCCGCTAGTGTCTCGAGAGATTATGAAAAATCAGAACGAACGAAGACTGATTTGGTGGAAAGGTGCAGAAGGACAGAAACAGACGCGAATCTCTCGACCTCGACTCCCACCGTCCACCGAGTCCTCCTCAGTTACACTAGGATCCATTCATGACTTTGCTTACCTCAAGCGAGCTATCCCAGTACGGTAAGCCGAGCCGACTGCCCTGAGGGAGGAATCTTCGAAACGCTATTTCGAATCTGAAAACGAAAGTCTCTAGGAATCGTTGCGTGGTAGGTACAGCAGTTTTCACTGCAGACGTCAGGGCATGTCAGAGAGACTGAGACTTGGCGCGGCACCAGGCGGTTCTTTGAAGCGGGCAAAAGGCAACAATCAGCGGCAACGGGCTGGCACTGATCCAACCCAGCCCTCTGACACGCCCAGCCCAGCGTATGCATTAAAAACAATTATAATTGGAAGGCCGAACCTTTTCAGATACTCTCGATGCCACGTGAAAAAACCAGGTCCTTCGTGCAGTCCGCTGTATTTGTGCACTAAACCATAGCGGTCATACAATCCAGCCGCTTTCATCTTGTTCAGCGCGATCTTCAAGAGTAAAATGTGGTAAAAACTTTGTACGTAAAGAATCTTCAACGATTTCCACCGACCGCTATCTGCAAGCGCTCTCTGTCGGTGAGCAGGCGCGCCTCCTTCCGGACCGCCTTCTGTAACAGCTTCCCGTTTGGCAGCACACATTTTGAGCCAGAAACTTTACCTGGAACAACAGGCCGAACTTCTGACATACCTCATGGATCTACCTTTTTATTCTGGATATTAACACGTGACAACAATTATCATCACACAGATTGCAGTTGTTATATGGCGAAACAGGGTATGCATCGACTGGACAGGACGTGTACCTTGCGATCCTGCGTGTAGGACTGCGCATTTATACTTGAGGGAGCGAGCTACATGAATTTCAAGAGAAGGTCGACTTTTCTGATGGGATTTGAGGACGAATCACTCATTATGATGGCTCACCAAGAAGACGCATTACTCTCGCTTTTCCGATATCATGCAAGTGAAAGATTTCGGTAGCTTTTACGACCCCCCTCCTTTTTTCAGGGGCTGGTACGACCCTCCCCCATGCTCGTACGATGGCTGACATGGCTGACTGTGGTTGTGGTTTATACTCGGCTTAGATAAAGGTTCGTCAGCGGTGGGGTATGTATAAGCATGCGACCGTACTGGCATAGTGACACTATTAAAGAAAATTCATAAAACTCATGAAGTGAACCACGTAACTCCTAGCCAGAAATACGACCCCCCCCCTCCAAAACGTCCGCAAAGCGAGAAAAATCAACTATAAAAATAAATTTTTCCCAGCCCAAATACGACCCCCCCCTTTTGGCGGCCAAATACGACCCCCCCCCATAGGGAATCCCCATCGAACGCTGTGCCCTGGGCGCGACGCAGTGACGCACACCTGCCGACCGGCAACCAGGGCACGTCGTATATTGGGGATCAATAGCGAGGGTGAGTCGCATTTAGTTGCTTTAGGTAGAGGGAGGAGTTTTGGTGTTTATCTTGGAGCAAAGCTCGACTGTTAACTGAACTTTTCCTGTTTCATGCGGATACATGTCCAATCCTTCATCTAAACTCGATTACTGTTTACCCCTTGGAAAACAAAAACGATTATTCAGTAAGGAGCCAACGATTCACGGAAGGATCTTGGCGTAAAGTTATGTGCAATAGGCATTCTGCTACGACTTCAAAAATTATTCGACTTCACGTCAAAAATAAAAGTTTAGGTGGACTTGTTACGGTGCTGATGATGTTCCCTGAGCTTTAAGTTCGATTTGATGAATTCTGAGTGGAGGATCTTATTTTTCGGTGAATCAATTGAACCTTATCGTATCACCCATGATGTCCGCAAGATTAATAAGTTAGGCGTCGTTATCAACATGAAGCTTATGCGAAAGCGCATTTCTTATTGTAGTTCTAGTACTTCTCAGATAAGTGGGATTGCATAAGGAACAGGTGACGGTAAAGGTTCTTCCCTCCGATAGTTAGTTACACTAGGATCGAACTAAGAGTATGAAAGACAAAACGCGGGTCATTTCCCGTAAAGACACCGGAATTTTCATCAACCCTGGAGGCCACTCTAGAAGACGGAGGAAAGTTCCGGTTTTCCTCCAGTTCCGGTGGTGAAAAGGAATTATGGGAATTGAACTTTCCATAATTCTTTTCCATCATAACAGTGTAACCCATTTCCAATGACAATCAAAGTACCAACCGCCCGTTAAACTAGACGTTCAGATGTACTTCGAACGAGGAGTTCAAAAAAAGTTAAGTACGTATGCTGCTTATGGAAGGGGTGTTAATGGGAACAAGAAGAGAAGACAAGAGAAACAGTCGTAATGGGGTACAAAAGGAATAATTCAGGTCGGCTCCTTTTTTCCAAGATGAGACCAGTTTCGAGTCAAATCGCATTCCGGTAAGCGTCCACTTGGAACGAATACTATTACTGTACCATCGAGTCTTTGAAAATGAGCAACATTAGATGAAAGTTTTTCGATTTCTCTTTCCGATTTTCCTTCAGTAAACGAAGAAGACATTCAGCAACGAGACGGACCCATTAAGATTGTTTTTAAAGAGAGTAGAGTGAGGTGTGAACCCGTAACGCACGCCGCATTGCGTTCCATTGCACTTCGCGAACTACTTCCAAATTCTTGCAAGCCGTTTCGCTCCCTTCCCCTTACACCATGAGTGGCACGCGAATTCGCTCGCAAGTCTCGCTTTACCTGGGGGAAGTCTCTATAAGGAAGTTGCAAAAAATTTGCAAAAGAAAATTCAAAATGACGTGAAATTCTAACAACAAATCACTCCATATCCGGAAGTTGAGTAGGG